ATAAGCTGTGTACAGCATAGAGAAACATGCATTAAAACACTAAACATACATTAAAATGCATTCAGCAGAATTATTGATTTAGGTAAATGTTGGTTTACGTAAAGAATAAGTGCTAGCAGAATAGAATAGACAAAGAATAATTTCCTTCAGTGGAGGAGGAGGAGAAGAAAAGTAGCTCATCCAATCTGTTTTGGAATTCCAGCCTTGTTTATGTTAAAATATGATTACTTATAAAATAAAGCTTGATTTAAGTATGTTAACATTGCTAAACATAAGATGATGTCCCTTTCAATCTTACTTCAGGCCTCTTCATGGGACACACTGCTCTGGTCACCTTGGTAGACTTGTCTTACTGGGAACTAGAGAAGAAAATGTCCCAATTGATTTTCTTTGCCTCTTAGTAGATTTTGACAGTATTGAGATTATCCTGAGGTATCTCTTTGAAATGGTTCTAGAATGGTTTAGAAATAAATAAAACCATAAATATATTCATAATGGGACAGCATGTCTCAAACAGGTTGCTTTTCATTCAATTTTTAAAATTTGCCAGCTCTTTTAAAATTTGCCACCCCATAGCTGAAGCACTCTTGGCAGTTTACTGAACTGTCCATAAAACAATGTTTTCCTAAATTATTTGATTAGGAATATGCTTGATGTCTTGTAAATCATAACCTGGTAGAGTAGAAGGCAGGAATACCAAATCATTTTGAACCTGTGGGAACACTGGGAATTTGAGAAACTGCGCTGGACACTGTTACAAAATGCCAAGCAGTGCGTCACTGATGAGGCATCTACCTGTTTTATCTATACATTGTAGGCTGCATCTTACTCAGAAAAAAAATAGTTTCCTCCCTATTGGACACCGCATCATTATTATTGTCTAATTCAGTTAATTGCTGGTGATGTAATCATTTCAGAAACATAGTAGAATTAAACATACAATTAACCACATGGTGGTTCAGCAGTGTGGAGATCATAATTGCTTTTCATAAGCCTACAAAACATTGTAGTATATCCTTATCCTCTTTCCTGTTTGGGATGCTAGCCAATGAGGTCCATGCCCTGTGTATGATAAGCTGCAAAAGGGCTCAAGCAAACCTATTAATTTTTTCCCTCCCTGTTAAATTTGCAACTCTTACTCAATACTCGTGGTTCCTTGAAGTCATTGAGCATACTCAGTTGTTCATTGGGGAAGTAATGATGGCTTTTCCACTTTGGGTTTGTTTGTTTTTTGAATAATGCCTTTTACAATTGCATATCTCAGGGTTACCTGAACGTGTTAATCCCTCCCTCTTATTTCTCAGTGGTCTTCTGTTAAGACTCCATGCCTGTCAATGTCCAGCTATTAGAAAGAACAAATTGAACCTGCAGAAATGTAATGTGTATTGAAAGCTTATGGAAAGGATCCACAAAAGTAGTTCTGTGAATTCAGTCTGCAGGAGTGTTTAAAGTTTAAGACATACTGTTGGGCCCAGAAAAAAATGGCAAACATGCTCCAGTGTCATAAAGGTTGCCTCCTCTGAATTAAACCTTCCATGCTAGCTATTAATGGTAGGCAAAAGTTTACCATGCCAGGAAAATCACCCTAGTTACAGAAATAGCATGTGAATATTTAGCACTGTTGTTTTCAGGCTGCCTGACTTTCTTTCCCCTTTGCAAAGTCCAAGAGCCAGCGGTGAAGCTGAGAAGCCAAGAAACAAAATTGGTGGCTGGAAGCAGTGGTTTATATTTCTTAGGCAAATAAGAAATAGAAGAGGGATATCCAACATGTAGCACATTCCCTCCAGTCTTTAATGTGGCCCAGGTCGCCAAAATTTGGCAGTGCAGTGGTGGAAAATCATACTGGGTTTTGCCACAGAATTTTAGCAACACAGTGCTACAGAGGCTGCAAATGACCAAACTTACCTTTTAAACAAAATAAATTCAGCTCATTTCAGCCTCTGTTTCACTGCAGCAGGAGAATGCCACCAACTCAGTGACTTGGCAGCTGGGGTGTGCCCCTCTGGATCGGTTCATAGGATGAATATTGAACTCAAGAGACCCAAACTTCTCTACCTTCAAATTAAAGAAGTGTTAGACTTTTCGAATTACCAACAAAGTCGGCTGCTTATGCTCAGGTCATATTTTAGCTCAGTGGCTGATCCTTGACCATTCAAAAATATCATTGCTCTGTCTAGCATACTGGCAAAAAATTGTGAGCTATAGCTTGGCTAAATTAAAAGACAAGTTGATACATTGCTCTCCGAAGCATATTTGGTTTTTTAAATAATTAAATCAAGATTTTAATAGTGAATGATGGCTGTGCATGTAAGCAAGGCACTTTACAGCCACTGAAGAAACAATGGATTAGTCCTAATGAGGTTTCTGCAAGAAGAATGTGATGAGGCAAAGCATTGCTCTTTCCCAGTGAAACCTTTATGGGCAGTGCATTGTAAACATCCGTCATGAAGGTGGAAAGTAGGCCAATTGCACAGCAAATAAAGTCAGCAGGAAAACCCTTGGTGTTTTAGTAGCTGAGATGGGTTTTAAAAAGAAGGAAATTAGACCTAAACAATTAAAAACAAAGCAAAAAAAAAAATCTGCAGGAAGTTTAGTGAGTCATTTTAGTGAGTCTTCCTTTTCTGAATAGTTTATTTATAATCTGTATCTAGAACTTTCTGGCTGTAGTAACATATGCCATAAGAACTTATTTGTTTTCAGTATGGACTGAATTAAGAGAATATAGAGCCAACAACATGGTAAATAGAACTTTTTCTTCCTTCTCTTCTTCCCTCTTCCTCTGCTTGCAGGCAAAAAAAAATGCAGGTATCAAAATATGGATTGGGGCTTTGGGGAGGGAGGGGGGAATAACCCTTTGCCCCTCCATTGCAGTTTTGATCCCGATCAAGCCCTTCATGCTTATAATTTTCATTGACAGAAAGGGATTCTGACCAGGATTGCAGTTGTAGGGCAAGGGATTAAACCCCTGCACCCTTTGTACTATGTCCCTGCTCTAAGCTGGGGCCCTGCACTTAGGAAAGAAAGATGCAATAGCTGGTTTAATCATCTGAGTAATATGTCGTGTATGTCTTCATTTTGATACCTCTGTTATTTATTTGTTGGATATTCAGACTGTAACTCCCTATAACATCAGGCATATATTTGTGCAAGTCTTGGAGATGTTTTGCTATATAGATCCACTAGATACCTTATAATGGCATATATGAAGTTATATTGTTTCATAATAATACATTTCAGCATTATGGCATGAGTACATTTTCTTAGCAGGGACTCTGCTTTTAGATGTTTAGACTTTCATACAAAATGCATTATGCATGCCCTTTATATGGAGGATTTTTAATTATATATGTCATACAAAATGGCTAGATACTTACTTGTTTTATATGAAATGGGTGGATGTTTCCTTTTTACACACTTGTGCATGTTAATACAACAGTGAGGTTATCATAATTGTTAGTTATGCACTACTTTAACGAAGGAGTAAAGCATGCAAGGTAAAGAAGTTGTAGCAGTGAGACTGCCGCTTCCATTACTCCCTTACGCATCTAGTCAGTCATCCTCTCTACCAAATTTAAACTATTTTGTGAGGTGCTGGATAACCTGTTAAAGAACAACACTCTGCATGTGTGTTCCATGTCTGCCCTGCCCTTTCCTCAAAGTCAAAGGGACACAATAGTCCCGTGAGCAAGGTAAAGCTAAAGATGAATGATGTTAAAGCCCTACCAAATGAGATTTTCAAGCTGCTGTTAACAATGTGGCTTCCTGGTGAAGGAGATAGACAGTTCCATATCAGCATGAAGATCGATTTTCTGGTAGTGGAATTGTAATTGCATGTTTATTCAGTCAGACAAATTTCTATGGTTACTCAATTAAACAAATTGCCCCCTTATGGACAAATCGTTGCTATCAGATTCTTTGTTTTCAACTGGCCTACATCTATGTAAGAACGTATCCTAATCGATGAGACTCCAATTGTAACTAGGCTGCATTTGTTTAATTTGAAAACATTCTTAATTTAAGCATAAACGTTCTGTACTTAAGTTGTATGTTATTGCCTACAACAAAGACATTGTAAGACCCTCATTTCAGAGAGATCTGAGCTGTACAAAGATTTTGCAGTGTGGAACCAGGCAGGGACAGGGAACTTTCAATCTCATCTTCCTAAGCAGCAGACTGACAGAGTTGAGCAATAAACAATTGTTTTAATTTATTCTAGCTTATAACATTTCTATAGCACCCAACACTCAATCTGTCTGGGTGGTTCACAACAATTGTAAAATACAGCTTAAAATACACTCTTAAAATTGAGAAGTTAAAAGGACAGTGTAAACTAGAAGTAAAGCAAAACCTAGCTGCAGTATAAACACTTAAAATACTGCAAAAATAGCTTTAGAGGATTTGAAATAAAAGTAAAGAATTTAAAACAACAGATATTGAAAGTCTAAAATTTCTGGTAAGATAGAAGACACTTACTTAGTACTGGAAAGAATGCACCTTAGTGCCAGGTGAGCATCTCTAGGAAGTTCACGGAATGGCTAGAGTACTACAGCGAAAAAGGCCCTCTTCTTTTGTAACCACCCACATCACCACTTTGGCAAAGGCTACTTCAGGATCATTGGTCAACTGGCTGACAAGAGTCCTTCACAAACCTAACCAAGTACTGAGTCCCAGTGCCTGGCTGGATGGCTTAGGGAGATGCTGGATCCACATAAATCGGATGTTCTCTTCTCATGCCCACATGAGACTAGGAAGTAGGCATGAGAGCCACTCCCAATTCTCCCCAGTCTTGACTTGTTCAGCTGAACGTTCTGATATTTATTTATTTATTTATTTATTTATTTATTTATTTATTTATTTATTTATTTAGGGGGCTTCTATGCCGCCCCATTCGCCGAAGCCTTGGGGCGGCTCACAAAATGTTACTCATAAAATTAAACTTTGGAATGTTTATGACTAACTAGTTCTGGTTTGTATTGCAGCTTAATCAACCATGACTACAGAACCTGGGTCAGACTCTGAATCTAAGGATCAGGATCAAGAACAGAAAGAAACTTCTGGGCAGCAAGGAACAGGTGGGACAGGAGGAGCCCAAGAGCAGCAGCAGCAGCAGCAGCAGCAGCAGCAGCAGCTGAGTGAAGAACACCAGAATGCATTAGAACAGTTTTCTGCTGTTGCCGCCCACAGCACCCCTGTGAAAAAGGAACAGGCAAGTCGTCCAACAAAACGGACATAGGCAATTTGTGACACTCCAGATGTTTGGGCCTACAACTTCAATCAGCTCTAGCCAGTAGAGCGGTGGTGAAGGATTAAGGCCAAAACATCTGGCAGAATGCAAGATAACCTCCCATGCATTAGAATATAGCTAACTATGCAAATCTGAATTGACACTAGAAGGCCTGAACACATTTTTATACAGACACAAATATTTTTCTAATCAAATGTGTGTATGTTTCTTTAAGGCTACTTCATTATTCACTTCACTTTTTGTAATGTGTGTTAAATTGTCTTCCCTGTTAAATTCAATTTTTGAAGTCTTGCTGTTGTTAAACAAGGGGAAAGTTCTATCATCATTTTATCACTGTGTTAGATTGCAACAATTTTCAGAGGAGCAAGAAATGTGGAAGACACCTGCTGAAATCTAATTTCATTCAGGGTTTGTTGATGTTCAAAACTAACAACCTCAGGTTTATTAAGCCCTGACAGTTATGAAATGACTACATTTAAATTGCTTTTTGTCATTTTGAGTTTGTTCCTATTCACTAAAACACTGATGCTGGATGTGATAAAGATGTCACATATTGCCAGCGTAGACCAAAAGAAAAATAACAGCTATGAGTGGAATCAAACAGGCCACAAGTATGTTCAGTAATCATGAAATATATATAAACATCCTCCTCCTTAAAGGTGCATAGGGAAGAGCTGTTCTGTGAAACTATTTTGGGTGGTTTGAGGCATTTCGTATGATAACCTGTAAAAGAAGGGCTCAGACCATTTGGCAGCCTCCTGTGAACAGTTTATTCAGCACTTTGCAGATTTAGTTGCTCTGATTTGTTCTGGCTTGGTTGCTGCAGTTGAGACAGTCCCAGTGGATGTAACTTTGGCTCCTGCTTTCTGATATTACTGGATACTTGTCAGTTGGTACAGCCTGAGGATGTGGCAGGACTGGACCCTTGCCCTTCCTAGATCATACAAGCAGCTGGGGAGACTGGAGGAGTGGATATGCAGTGCGACTAATGCTTGCCTTAGTCAAGGCAGGATGCCAGCCTGCCTGAAGGAGGCAGCGGTGAGACCCAGGTTGAAAAATACTTCCCTGAATCTCTTTGTGTCGGATAGTTATCAGCCAGTCTCCAATATTCCATTTTTGGGCAAGGTATTAGAGTGTTGGATGACCTCCAAACTCCATGGATTCCTGGATGATATCGAATTTTAATCTATCTTCAGACCTTCACCAGGAACTGTATGGGGGAACATGTCCCTGTTGCACCTTGCAGCTGCTTTCATACCGCAACTGGCCGCGGTATCCTCTCAGCCACATCACTGGGAAGGAAATTAGAGGCATTGTTGCCGTTCCTTCTTGGAGTGGCAGGCCCAGAAAGTAGTGTTGGGGGGCTCGTGTTTGATTCCCTGGCCATTCCCAGTAGAGTTCCTCGGGGTTCTGTTCTGCTCCCCAATGCTATTTACTACGCACATGAAACCATTGTGAAATGTTATCCAATGTCAGTAGTATGTTTATGACATCCAGCTCTGTTTCTCCATTACATCGTATTCCAGGGAAGCTGTTTTGATGCTAAATTGGTGTCTGTTAGCAGCAATGAACCGGTTGAGGGCAAACAAATTGAAATTTAATCCAGACAGGACAGAAGTGGTCCTGGTCAGTTGGAAGGCAGATCAAGTAAATAGGGATTCGGCCCATGCTGGATGGGGTTACAGTCCCCCTGAGGGCACAGGTCCACAGCTTAGAGTACTTCTGGTCTAAGTGGTAGCCAGGGGTGCCTTTGACCAGTTCGAGTGCCGGCTATGCCCACTCTGGGGTGTCTGTCTGGTCCCACTGACACATGCCTTAGAAAAGGGCCTTCCCTGTGGTTGCCCAAGGCTCTGGGACTCCCTTTGCAGGGAGGCTAGATTGGCACCTGCCATGTTATATTCACCACAGCAGGCATACACTTCTCTCTTTCAACAGGCCTTGGGAATAGTCTGGACCCGTGGGACTGTGTTCATCTAGTTCTATTGTCTCTATTGTTTCCATTGCTTTAATTTGCTTATTTTATATGTTACAGTTGGGTTAATTATTTATAGTTTTATACATTTCTATTGTTTTAACTGCATAACTTTTCAGTGGTGTAAGCAACCTTGAGTCTCAGTATTGCAAATGGGCAGTATAGACTAACAATAATTATTATCAAAATCATTTTAATTATACTAATGTTAATTTCTTGCGCCATTGGCCAGATCATAAAATTTCTCAGGGAAATAACATTGCAAATACTCTTTGAATATTTTTTTTTAGAATTTTTGCTTGAAAACTCCAAAAACAAATGCTGAATGCAATTTGTGTGTCACTGGTCATTTTGTCCTAGATGTCAGCTTTCTTTAGGAAGATGCAGCTCAATTCTTGTGAAACTCTTTTCTGGTATGAACATGTCTTGACAGTTGTGGGTCCGGCTCTAATAGTTCCTGGCATGTTTTTCATTTTGAGCACAGTGCAAATCCATATGAGGTGCTTCTGTGACAGTCTAAGCTAGAGAATTTCCTCCCTGTTTAGTTTTGTCTTGCTTAAAATGCTGCTAGAAATTAGCAGCATGTACTACTTTTGTTAATGTTTAAAGCTCCTTTTCACAGCTCAGAGTAGAGATTCCCAAGAAAAGGTATGTGCTTTGTTTTAACAGGCAACTATAATTGATTTGCCACCCCATGTAATGTGTTATATGCTTTGGAGCCCTGCACTCTGCTACTATTATGTGACACTCTTTAGGTTTGAAAGCAGATTAAAGCTTTTGGACAGATTTCATTCATTCTTATGGAGACTCATTACAATGAAGGAAAGAGACTTGAAGGATTAATTTGTGATGATGGTCGGTGCCACAGGCTGCTGACTTACTCTGAAATCATTTTGAGCCAAATCAGATATGTTTTTATGATGCTCAGAGAAAAATAAGATTAACTTTCTAAGCTTTGGCTAAAGTATTACTATGTTTCTGTTGCTGCTTAAATCCTGCTTGAATACTAGTTGGAAGAGCTGTGTCTGCCATTAGACCTCAATGGTCAGGGGAGGGAAGCAAAGCGAACCATTGGGTGGCCTGTTACAGCCAAGATCCAGTCTCTTGAAAAGAGGACTTGTTGGATCTTTTAAATCCCTCCAAATTCCTCCAAAAGTAGCAAATGATTTGCTGCCATGTTTCTTTTACTAGCTTGCTCTGATTGACCAGTTAAACAGCAGATCAGAAAACAGAGCATCATTTCTTTTAAAGGATTTGCAAAATACGGAATGATGGTTAGCTCTGTTTTGCTTCTGTTAGAGCTCTACTTTAAAAATGAGGTTCTGAGTAGTCCATTGTAAAGGAATATCTGATGGTGTGTTGTGATCCTGAATGCTTGCTGGGATAAGCCACATTTTTAATCTGCTACTGGAACATAATCGCCTTGTTTTTATTTCGCAGGCTACTGAAAAAGAACTCGAATTTGCTGCTGCAGCAGCAAAACAACTGGAGTACCAGCAGTTTGAAGACGACAAGCTTTCTCAGAAATCAAATTCAAGCAAACTCTCCAGATCTCCTCTAAGGATTGTCAAAAAACCAAAAAATATGCAGTGCAAAGTAATTCTTCTGGATGGTTCAGAATATGGCTGTGAAGTGGAGGTAAATACCAAAAAGAGAGGAATGCTGCATATGATAATTGCGTGTTTGGCCAGTTAATTCTATTGAGTTCAGTGGAACTTGCTTCTTCCCACTGTATAATAAAAGGAGACAGTATACCTAGGAAAGGAAATGATTTTAAAAGCGCACATAGTTGTCCATATCTATTCCATCTGAACTATTTCTGTTCTCTAAGGATCTGGGTAATAACCTTTTTTAGCACTTCAGCCATTCCCTCAGAATAGAATATTTTCCCATGATATTGGTAATGCATGGAAAAAGTACAAGAGGACACACCAGCAAGAAAAGTAAATGACAGTAAGATAGGAATTTCCATGGTTATTCTGCATTTCAGTTGAGTGTTCTAGCTGCTTCTGGGTCATTTTGCAGATTGCAGTATGAACGTGTCTCCTTTGTTTGTTTGTTTAATTTCTATATTGCCCAACAGCTGAAGTTTTCTGGGCTGTTCGCAGCTGCATATTTAAAAACAATATAAAATATTCCAATTAAAATGTATTAAAGCATCCTCAAATTTGGCAATACAAAATTTAATACCAAATAGTAAGCAAAAAAACAAAAATATACACTAAAAAGGCCCAGTTAAACCCTGCCTAATGACCAGCAGGTCCTAGTTACTAATTAAATGCCCTGCTGTAGAGGACTATCTTTACCTGGTGCTGAAAATATAGTAAAGTTGGGGAGCCAGCTCAGTGGGCAGCTCATTCCATAAGTGTGGGGTCACTACTGAAAAGGCTCTTCAGGAAGGAAACCAATATTACTGAACACTTAGAGCACTTTCCTTATGCAAAAAGGGCGCTGCTGGGGCTTCTTAGTTTTGAAAAATGTAACTCTGCATGGACAATATTATCTATGCTGATAAAACTAGACAAAGCACCAAGTAATGTTAAACTATACTGTAGCTCTAATGTATATAATTTATTGTGTTCCACCCTGGAACCATTTTAAAAATGAACTATTTTAGATGTCCCCAGCCCCTGAATTACAATGGAAAAAGGGAAAGATCACTAGGAAGCATCTGAACAAAGTCATTACATGTGAGGTTGGGACTACAGTGGAATTTCTGGTATGCCATGTCTTTTCTTGTTGAATTATACAACAATTAACAGTGAATTCAGTTGAATTCAATATTTATATAAGGTTAATGCCTGTAACAGTGGCACTATAGTTGAAATACACATTTTTGTGTATTTCACACATTAAGCTATTAAGGATGATAAAATGAATAAAATAAATGGAAGGTATTGATAAGGGATTCCCTGATTCACATACATTTTTATTCATAAGGTCAATGGCCACTAAAAATGACATGTTCTACCAGCACTTCAATCACCTTCCCAATCCAATCACTTTGGCAGCTTGACAGTGAAAATCAGCCCTCTAACTGTCTTGCAGGGCAGGAGTTGTGCAGAGGTGACCTTTATCTCCTGACCCTTCTGCATTGCCTGAAGGATGTCTGTAAAACACCAAATTCAGAGGGTTTCAGGCATCCCCTCGGACTGGACCCTAAGGCACCTTGTAAATGTAAAGACCCTCTTTCACTGTTCACTATTTGTGGCATGGAAGCCTTCTTTCAGGCCATGCACAACTGTCTGCTGCATATTTATGCTAGTGCCTTAACTTAATGTACTGGTTGATCCACTTGGATCCATAACAAGGAGAAGCTAGCAGTTTTTAAAATTCAATTAAATATATTTCTTAACCATTTGTCAAGACCATGGTCTTTCCAAGGCAGTTTATAATATAAGAAAAGTTCAGTTCAGCATCAAATTACAAAAACACCTTAAATATATTTTGAAATAGAGTCAAAATAAATATAACTTTGAATGCCTAACAGCAGCAAATCTTTACAATTAATGTAAACATGGGCTAATGCCTTGAACAATGAGAGTTGTATGTGTGTTTGATTTCCTAAAATGTAAGAAACTCTTCTCTTGACACTACTATATTATACTAGTCCGATTGAAATCTGTGCTGCTGAAGTCATGAGCAAAGGCCCTAATTTGGTCTGATTCCAGAATGAGTAGGTCACCAATCTTCTTATCAGGATTTAGCAATCCTTTGGTTGTTGGGGGTGGGGATTGTTTAGATTAGTGCTGGCTTTTTAGGATTGTAAGCTCAATGAGTATTTGAAAAAAGAAGAACGGCCCCAATAGAAAGTGTGCCATATTATACAATGCCATTGACACTCGATTTGTGCTTGTTAATAGAAGTAGGCATCGAGACATCTGCTTTCACACAGATACTGGCGGATGGATTGTTAGTAATGCCATTGGTTTCCAACACCACTGCATAAAAGTGAAATAAAAAATGAAATCAAATTAAAAAGGAGAGCCTTAATTGGGTATTTACAATACTTTCTAGTCCTGTATAATAGGCTTATTTCTCATGATACTTCATTTGCATTATGCCGTACATGTAACATAGATACTATATGAATTAGAGTTTTTATTAAGACTTCTCTCCAACACACACACACATGCGCGTGCGCGCACTAATTGAGGCTTACTTGTGAGTAGACATGCGTGGGAACATGCTGTAATATTGATCTATTCACAGCAAAGTTTAAATGCTTCATAGCAGGAATGTTTTAAACATATTATTTGACTAATCAAACTGAAATTGTAGCAAAGGAATAGGGATATATGCCAAAAAGACAGCATAGGTACCAAACAAACCTCTTAGGGGAGCTCTTCCTAAGTGGAAGCCGCAACACCATGTGGCATGGTGCTGGGCTGGGGACCTGGGAGGTCCAGCTTCCCATCCTCACTCAGCTGTGGAGCTCACTGGGTGACTTTGGGCCAGACTCTCAACTTAACTTACCTCATAGGCTTGTTGCTGTGAGGATAACATGGAGAGGAAAGCCTTGTATGCTGATTTGGATTCCAGGCAAGGGGAAGAAAGGTAGAGGCCATGCTATGCTATGCTATAGCTTGTAGCAACCTGTCCTTCTGTGAGGGCCCCTAAAGGCCTCAGAAAAGGACTCAAGGGCTGAGCAGCTATATGTGGAAGGAGACATTCCTTTGGATATTCTGGTCCCAAGCCTTTTAGGGCTTTAAAGGTCATCAGCAGCATGGTGACTCTGACTTAGAAATGGGATGGAAGCCCGTGCATCTGATGAAGCACTGGCATCACTTTCTTTTGAACTTTCTAAGGTTTTTGATTCATCTTTTCAGTGAGCCTCACATACAATGCATTTCAGTCTCCCAGCTAGGAGGTTACCAGAATAACCATGGCTGGACTTCCCTCTATCTAGATAGAGTCACATCTGGTCACTGGAGTTTCAAGTGACAGGGATGGATCTCAGAGCATCCTCTATGCTAGATGTCTGGTCTTTCATAGGAAATGCAGTTCCCTGCACAGGTTGAATACCACTCAGCTGGGCAGACGAACCACCAGCGTCATTTGTCAGCCCTCGTCCAGTCCAGAGCCTTGCTCAGGCATCAGTTCCCCCCAGTTTCACCTGGCATTGATGAAAATGAGAGGGAGAACTATGTCCTCAGTATATTAATTTCACCTCGGTCCACATCCCCAAATAACTTCTCCTGCAGCTTCAGGTAGAATAAAATAGCACCACAGATGAAGAGCACCATGACAGAGCACCAATTCCCCAGCTCCACCTTCTGAAATGCAACCACTGTAGAACAATGCCCCACCTCCCCATCCAAGCAGCCACTGCAGGAGGATACCATAGTGAATGGTATCCAGTTGTAGTAATAGTATAAAAAGTAATGTAACAATAGAGCAGGCTCTCTCTCTTATGGTTTTTCCTTTGAAACAGCCAGGGTGAAATGTTGGTGTTGTCTGCCTGTAATTATATTATTTTAAAGGAAGAAACAATAAATTAATGCTTTGCAGAGTAGCATTTGCTCAGATTCTGAGACTTTGGTGATAGGATTGGATAAGAAAGCCTTTAATTAATAAGTAATAATAAATAAAACGTAATTGATCAAAATCAACACAGATAATATAAGACAGATGGCACCTGCTATTCTGCCTTTCTGCACAATTTTAAGTGTATATGTTTGCAAGTGGCTGTGTGTTTCCCATTGGTAGTGTACCCACTACATATGTTTTGCCCAGGTTACATTTATTTTTGGAGGTACTGCAGTATGTGATACTTTTCATAAAAATGGCATTTGCAACGTTTGTAAACATGGCATAGAGTTACATAAATATAATAAGGCAAGTATCATAGTTGGATATAGAAGGCATGATGCTAATAGATGGCTTTTATACACATTTAAATAATCAATACATGAAATAATAACTTTTGCTGAAGTGTGTAACAGGAAGCATTATTTTATATAATACTTTATTTTTATATTTTATTTATATTATTTTTATATTTTAAGCATTATCACTTAATGCTTCAGTAAAGGGAGGGGTGTGTGTGGAAACGTTACAAGGTTTTCTTCACCGAGTTATTTAATCAGGTTCCCTAATCCTTTCTCAAATGGCAGAAAGAGACAGCTTGTGTGATTTATGTGCTTCAGTGCTCAAGCATGGAGGCTGCATTGAGTGCTTCTTTGGTACAATGCTTGCTATTAGTAATACCAGTAATGCCTAACATAATTCTGTATTTACATTGAGTGAATGCAGTACTATGCATGGCATTCTGCACATTCTGCCTTCATGCAGTATGGGATTTAAAGCAGGTGGGCGGGAGGCAGTAAATAGCAGTCTCATACTCCGTTCACACCCAGAAGACGAGAGGAAACTGACGGTCTTTGGATTAACATGGCATGGATTATATATTTCACCATTGTTGCCCAAAGGATGTGTGAGTATTCTAGAATGGCTAATAACTGGATACAGTCAAAATGATAATGTGGTCACAATCCCCACCCACATCTATATATAATCTGTTCTGCTTACAAACTAAGAGTGAAGATGGGCATAGTGTTTACTGCTGTTTGGACTCTGAAATGCCCCAGTCACAAGGAAGGAGCTTGGGCTGTTACGCAGCGTTCATTGTTCCCCGGAAGTTCAGAGATTAGCCTACTGGAAATAATGAAATCATTCATCTAGAAGGGCTGCTGGACATGTGCTATTACTGTACTACAGACAAAATGATTATGACAACTGACTAAACCTCCAGGCTTCTCTCTCTTGAGGGATATTTTCAGGTTGATAGATAAATTTACAGCCTGACTTAGATAATGGAATCTGTTGTATGCATATACTTCACTCTTTTAAAGGTTCCTTAACATTATTGAAAAGAAAATAGTAAAATTCATGCAGTGTAAACACCGAATTGTGTATTTTGCAAATTATTTACAAACACCTTGGCGCTGGAAGTCTAACTTTTTTCCAGTTGACATCATAAGAGCACATGATGGTACCATTGCTATGGGTTTTGGTACCATTGTATGCTTAGGCCTGCTTCTTCTGTTCCATATTTATCATGGAGAGTAGATTTGTTCTGAAAACAAACTGCTAATTCCAGAATTGGCCTACTTCCTTTGAATAGACCCGTTGATGTAATTCCTCTGAACTCACTGGAAGAGACATGAGGATTAATATCCCTGTATTGCATAACTTAGCTCAGAAGAGTCATCATTTTTATTGCAGCACTGTATATATTTGAATAAGAATGCTTAAAACTGCAGCCTTAGGGAGACATTATTTGAAGTGAATGGAGTACGTACATTGATGACTTATGAAATCAGTAACAGTTCAAAGTTTTCTATGTACAGAGAGAGGGAGGAAAATCGTGCCTTTTTATTCATGCTGATTTTGCATGAACATATACAGAGTGTCCAATAACTATAAATAGAAAGTTTTGCATTCTTTAATAGGTGGGAAATTCAAATACCTGAATTTTCATTTCATCTATTAATCTACTAAATTGCATTCCTTTTCTGTCATTTTTTCCATGTACATCTGTTTTCTTTATGGAGGTTGTACTAAGTGTAAAGTTTTACTGCCACCTGTAAAAACCAAATAAGTTTTTCCCCTTTTGCAACAGACTGTGTCTATTTGTTCTTTTTCAGATGAGATGGCAGTGTTACATACAAAAATAGCTTGCTGTAAATTTTGTGATAATCACTTCCTTTATTATTTTCTAAAGGGGGAAATTCACTGCAGTTTCCCATACTAATTTGACTTTTCTCTTATAGACCAGTATGTGAGGATAACTGAGCACTGAATTAGAAACAGAGTAATCACTTTAGAAGTAAATAAGGGGGGGCCAAAGAGGAGGACAAGATTAAGACTCTTCATTCTGGATTTCATATATGTGTGGATAAATAAATTAATATTGTAGATTTTGAACATCGTAACTCTAAGTAATTCCATTCTGTTACCACCAGTGTCACAGAGAAGTCCATTTGAGGCTCTGTGAAAGATAACAGTCATCACGTAGGAAAAGCTATATCCATATGAATTTTGCAGGAAAGATATGGTCAGTGGTTGAAGTCAGGATCTGCTCCTGGTCTTTCTGTATCCAGTCTGCTAGTTAACTCAAGTTCCTTAATTCAACATTTACCTGTTTATTTTCTCCATCTCCTGAAATTTATCATGGAGGCTGTCGACTATTTTTTCATCTGTCTCTTTGCTATTGATTAGTAGAATGCCCCTGGCATGTGCTTTCTTTCATTAAGCCTGGATAAACCCACAAGCTACTTATTCATATAAAGAGAACTCTTCCAGAAGGGTGGGGGCTCTGCCATAAATGCTGGTAATAGAGGGGGAATTGCCTGAAATTCGGTGCAGAGATTGGTTGATTTCCCTCTTCACGTTGCATCACTGTGTGGTATAGTCCACAGCTTTCAGGAGGGCCCACTGACTCTTTGAAGAAGGGTTTCACTGGGAAACTGGGCTGATGAACAGAGAAAAGAAAGATAAAGATCAGTTGCAAATGCTGCTTTCTGCTCTTGCAGCCATTGGATACAACCCATTGTTCCCTTTCACTTTCTTTATTTGTGACTAAAACGCACTTTGTGGAGATTGTCATATCATCAACTCTAATTTTAGATTTATATTATTAGATTAAAAAAAAACACCGAGACCCAACCTATTTGGTTGGAACAACAATTGATTTGTAAAATCGCCTCCTCTGTTTTAAGTGCAAGGCATAATTAATGCTGAAGTTATGGAAACATGCTCATTATTTCTCTATCCTCAGAAATACCCACAAAATATAGCCTTGCATTAAATCAGCATAATTGCCTTTATAATTATCCAGCAAATTATGAATTTGCTGATGGTTTCTTTATGTCTCCTAAATTTTAGTCATCCATTATTGCTAAAATATGTGGCAAACCAATATGTATCTTCTGTAGGGAAAAACAATGAAAACTTTAAGCAGTTCGACACTATAGAAATCATTGTTGCTGTAAAGTAAATTATTCATGCATGACTATATATTAACCAATTAATGTCTAACATTGTTTGCAGCACTTAGGGATAAATGAGCTGATTACAATGAACTTATTTGTAGATTTAGAAAAGGCTCATTAGAATGACAAGCTATTACTGCAGTCAGATCGCCTCACTGTCCTATTTGCATATTCTTCTGATCTCTTCAGTCTTGCAATTTCTTTCTTAGCCTCTAATATACCTGCTTCTTCCTGCCTTTTCAGTGCTAGTGATTTGGTCTGACGTCTCTGAGCGCACTCTCAGACCCCAGCTCAAAAGGTTGCTATTTATAGGAGAAAGTCTCCATTGCCCTCACCGGGGACTTTACTCCTGCTGGAAATCGCTTCAGGGGAACTTTTTTCCTGCAGGGGGAGGCTTAAAATCCCTCACCTCAGCTTCTTATACAATGCAGTTCTACACGCACATGCACACACAGTGTAAGCTGAAAAAGGGATTACTAAAATGGAATTGTCTAGTTTATTCAAAGCCTATAGATAATAAACAGACAAAACCTGCTGCTTAAGTATAGGATGAGTATACTTTTAAACAGGCTGTATTTTAAAGGTTATAGCATCATCCTATTGTTCTTGATTCATTTGTTTTCTGCCCACACAACTGTCTCATATGCTCTGATCATTGGAAAGCTGATTCCTCAAATGATATGTAAATATACTCCTAGTATTGCTTACCCTGCCATTCTAAGCCACGGCAAGACATCTCCTGGGGCAGTTGAACATGACAGCCCTCTGTGGATTAATTTACCTGCAAGGAGCTGTGGCACATGCTGGCTGCTATTGTGAATATGCCAGCCCTGGTTGGGGGGCTGCCATGGATTGTCATGTTATCTCAACCCGGGTGAGGGGGAGGCATTTGAAAATTTAGAGATTCTTACATAATGTAGAGTCTGTTTTAGGATTGTGTGAGGGTGGTTTAACCTTCAAGTAACCCGTGCGGCACAGGTTCGGATGAGATAGCAAATCTTGGCAACTCTTGGCAGGGGCTTCCATATTCATGGTGCCCAAAAGGTCACTTAATCCACAGCTGCTGTGTCATCCAAAACAGGTTACTTTTTCATTAACACTTCATCAAGTACATGTGTAAAGGAAGAGCATTCTCAAAAAATGTTTTATGGATCTGGACACAATAGGAAAACTACAGAATTTCAGAACCTTTCTTTGGTTCAACAGTCTCATTTCCATCAATTCTTGCCATAAACCAAGAAAAATGTCCTTGAGAAATACAAAATTCTGTAAAGTAAGAGTGTTTGTAGGAAATTAAAATATATTAGGTTGAGACAATTTAATTGGTCTAGATTAGCTCAAGATAGTTTAATAGCTTATCACATTTCTGAGAATTGATTTTAAAGGGTTTTATGTTTTGAACTCTTCTCTACTTTTTCCCATAGAAACGCTCAAAGGGCCAAGTACTATTTGACAAAGTATGTGAACACCTGAACCTCTTGGAGAAAGACTACTTTGGGCTAACATACAGAGACATGGAAAACCAAAAGGTAAAATTAGTCAAGGTATTGGAAAAGTCATGATTAAAAAAAATCATAGTATGAAAATAAAATAGGGGGAAAGAGGTCAAATATAGCAACCTCAGAGAGGCTGCGTTTGTGTTTGTGAAGGTCGTCTGGCTTCAAAACAGGTTATTTATCTGGCCATTCAGTGATAATTATTTTCTGCAAATAAGGATTGTATCTCATTTTGAAATGTTTGACACCCTGTGGGTGTTTAAACCATGGTTTACCAAGGCAATGCAGTATAAGCAAGTGTACTGCCTCCCATACTTTCTTTTTCAATCATCACCCTGTTCCTGGGTCAGTATTCTGATGCTGGAACTTGGACACTCTGGACTGATGGAGGTTAAACAACCCAGAGTTAACCTACAGCCGGTTGTTTAAACTCTGGAATAAGATGTTTCTAGGTTGTCAGTTGAAAGCAGAAGAGATGAAAGTGTGGGAGATGGTACAACTGTTTGTTCCTGTTAGATCTCTGCAGGACTGAGGAAATAATCCAGGAAGAGTCATTACATGCACCAGCTCTATAAACAGGTTATTACTTGTTCCCACATTGTTGAAGAGGCAAGATAAATAGCTGTCTGCTATATTCCTGCTCTTTCTGAGATATCCTAATACCGAAATGGAATTAGATTTCCTAATATCCCCAGGGCAATAACAGCCTTATAGCCCTACACAGGGCTGTTACATTAATATAATTTAATATTAATTCTGGTACAAACAAACTGATGCATTGACTTTATTAGATTCCTGCCAGGCTGATAATTTTAGTAGTAGTACTTTTAAAGTTGATCCCACCACAACACAGTGCCAACTGTGCCATTTTGTGCAGTGATTCCACCTAAAGTCTCACAAACACCAGATGTTCCATAAATGGGATCCATGCTTGACAGGGTAATTTAGAGGGCTACAAATGTGCGTTATGTTCACTGAACACGTAAGAAAACAAAGCGTTTCAATATATGAGCAGGTGCCCATTGCTCCCTGGAATTGAACACACAGCCTCCTATATCACATTAGTTAGGATGAGATAGTCCAGAGTTTGGCATTTGAGTTTTGGTCTGGAAGGAAGGAATTTACACTGCTGCATGGAAGCTCTGATCTATGCTCTGGAAATTGTTGAATGGGACTTTGTAGATCAGGGTGGGAAACTTGTGGCATTCCAGATATTGCTGGACTACAGTTTCCATCACTCTCCATTATTGATTGTGGTGGCTAGGGATAATGGGAGCTGCAATCCAACAATATCTGGAGGCTCACAAGTTGTTCACACCTATTCGAGATGATGGGAAATGTAGTGAGTGCAAACAATTTGGTTTGATTGGTATGCTTCTTAAATCTTAAATTGGTGGTTTCTACTTCTATCGGCTTCCTCACTGTGGCCCACACAAAGGACACAATATAAAAAAAGAACATGGCTGACCATCTACAAAAAGACCTGTGTATCCCTATGTTTTTGTTCCAGAGGACTTGATATTCCATGTCCTCAGTGGAGCTTATTTACCTTTTAAGCAGTATCTTTTGTCCTTCTTGTCACATTGCAAAGATGTCATGCCAAGGGTTCCAAAAATATGTAATGAGGCCTGCTGTGCTACATCAGAGATTTTACCCAAAGGGCTTTCCCTGCACTAGCCATAACATAATAGCGGCAGCCCATGTTACGTGCTCAACGTAACTCATCAGATAAGGTGAATCAATATTATATCCTTAATGTAGACAGGAAGCCAATACTGTGGCAGAGAGAATAGGGATTGCCTTTGGTCTTACACTGACGTCCTGACAGAACCGGAGGTATGCTAGCTTTTTGCATGTATGGAGCTAGCTGACAGTGTTCAATACTTTAGAAGTCAATACACAAGAACACGATCCAGCCAAAGTTATGCACTTTGGGCTCACACTGCTTTCTGCCTGCAAGTCAAGTCCTACAGTTAATGTCATGGGCACTGCGATCCTATGGATGTCATATGCTGTCCAGACAACCACTGGATATTCTGGAGACCTGGTGGGAAAAGTGCTCTGACCTCACAGCTGGGTCTTAGAGCGTGTTCCCTATCCCCTCTCAGGCAGTGCAGAATCAAACAGACTGGCTGTGTCAGATGAGGTTCAGGGGTCAGGCTGGGGAGGAGACAGGCACCACCGTGATGTGAAATATCCTTTCTCAGCCTCCATTCCCTGCACTCGGAAGTGTCCCACTTAGGTGGCTGAAATCCACCATCTCAGTGTTTTGCTGGGCAGAAGGTGCACACAGATAATCCTTGCCTCCGTGCTCCTTCTGCCTTGCATAGGTTACCTGTAGTCCTCCAGGTCTGGAGGCTTACAGGCACTGCGACTGAATTAAGCTTTTAAGAGTGTTGAACTTTAGCTGGATCATTTTACTTGTTTGGTTTATTTAACATGAATTTCCAAATGAAGTGTTTGCACATCTGATTCAAATATTTAAATACTTCTTTTCAGAATTGGTTGGATCCAGCCAAGGAAATAAAAAAGCAGATCCGAAGTAAGTTGTAATCAGTCCTTTATCAGAGTGAAATGTATATATCTAAAGGGGAAGCACCAGTTAGCTGGATATTTTAAAACTGAATTATTTTACAAACATTCAAAAGTAATTGTGTATATAAACTATTTGAATATAATTAATGTGAGGTATTATTGCTGTCACTGATGCACCATAGCTGTGATGCTACTCGTAACAAGGTTTGTATCATGCTTAGTGTACATATTGTGAAGATGTCAGGTGAGAGAAGGAAGGAAAGCAGTGTAGAATGTATTGGTGAAGAAACAGAATGTGTGAATGTTACCAAATTCAGTGCTACGGTGGACATGCTTAATTCGAGCTGTGGCACGCTCTTTCAGTTTAGTCTCGGCGATTTTGGAGTGGTTTGTCTGGAAGTGGTTTTAGAAAGAAAATATAGCCAAGAAGCAAACTGGTTGCTGAATCACTCTTCAGGACCAGCCCCACTGTTAAATAGATGACTTGAGAAGTCATTAAATAGCAGCAAAAGGGTGGCTAATTCATTTTCTACTGTTGTAACTTAACAATCAGGGAAGGAAAGTGGTGGTTGTGGGATTTGCTTACATATGTGTCAAAACACTTCTTTGTAGTCTCTGTGACTCACACATAAGGATTTATGCACTTGTGCAGAGCAGCATTTGGAACATCCTAGAGTTAAACAGAGCTTTTGGATGGAGCCCTGCTCCTCTGCATTTGGTTCAGGTGCACCTTCTTTTTGCCCCTCAGTGCTTTCTTTTCTGCTGCTGCAACAAGCCACTCGTGGAATGTTCTCTGCCTCATGGTCTTTCTTTAAAAATAAATTCTGCGTTTATTTTTCTTTCTTCCCTCTTCTTCCTCATTCCCTCTGCGCTGCTAAGCAGAGATTTCACTCTTCTGTCCTATAATCTCTGGGTTTTTCTTCTTTTCTTTTCACCACTCAGGGCTACATTGCCTCCAAGGTCTTCTTTAAAAAGGGCTCCCACTGCATCATCAGATAGATACTTAGAATGCCTTGTGTGCCTCAGAGAGACTGAAAGACATACATACATACATACATACATACATATATATATATATATATAGAGGCAAGAAATGGTCCAAAACATTTGCTTTCCTATTCCAGTCCAACCCCAGTCACTCCCATTTTTCAGGTTTGCACTGGACCCTTCCAAGTCAAACTCCACCCATTCAGCCTTGCTACTGCAAGGAGAGTTTATGCAAAGTTATGACACTCATCACATCATGAACAATACTGAGGAGCATTGCAGTTATGGGCAGTTGGCTTTTTATCATTGCATTGGCAACAACTCTCAAGCAACATGCTCACTTTTGTTCTTCTAAAACCTCTTGGCCTGCAGATCAATAAGGACAAAACTCATCTTTCACCATCTTGGGCCCAAAATTTTATTGGTACTTTCATAGACTTCACCAGAGCCAGACGTACTTGCCCAAGGGACAGCAGATGTCATCTACTTCTTAGCTGATGAGCTTTCTCATCCACTATTTTGCAACATGATCCAGTGTCTCTTAGGGGTCATGGCTTCAACCACAGTGGTCATCCCATTGGCCCACCTCCATATAAAGATGGTTCAGTATTCAAAGGTACCATGGGAACTGTAGCTTTGCACTCCTTATCACTCCTGATCACTGGCAGATACTTCCTTGGGTGGTAGACCGACCTATCCTATCTTCCACACATCTCTAGTCCATGCTTCATGATAGATGTAGTTCCAACAGACACTTCACTCCAAGCTGCGGAGCATACTGCCATTTCCTCACAGTCAGAGGATTCTGGTCATGTAGAGAATATATGCTTTTCTGACTGAGGTGTGTTTGAAAGTCAATATCTGGAATTGGTCCTTTTATCACTCCATTATACCAATTGGCATTCACCTAGCAGGGCCAGTTCACACCTTAGCTGATGTCAGAAAGTCAGAACATCCTCACATGAGTGTGGGTATCAGCAGTTGGCTCAAATGATATTTAGGAAATGGGAACACCCAGAAGTCAATATTTTCATTCCAGCACAAATTTCAAAGTTCCCCAAGGGATGCCTTTCTCACATCCTGTCTAATCTATAGTTTCACTCCATGTCCAATGATCACAAAAGTGGTAAACAAGGCACACTGCATATTAATTACTCCAGAGTGTGTACTGAGTGTTTTTATGAAATTTAATGAGGGCAGGGACCAATTAAAACTTCTCTTTAGGTTTAGAATGTTCTAAATGCTATTCTGTACAGGCACATAAATCCATATATGTGAGCTTACAAAAGTCCACCCAAAAGAACTACAGCTTCAGGTAAGCACCCTGAAAGCCTTTACATGGCTGTCCTTGGATGCTATGCACCTTGACTTCAGGGAGGTGTGCTGTTTGTTGCTTTGTCTCTGGCTGTGTTCTATAGGGGTAAGCAACTTTCAGTTCAGTAGTCTTCTACCTAAGCCCCTTGCAATTTGAGTGCATGTTTATGAGAAGATATGCAAAGTGAAAGCATGCTCAAAAGTCCTCTTCTTTCTGTGGAAAAATGGGAATAACTAGATCACAAGGCTGATTTGTTACTTTGGAGCAATATACTTTTCAAACAGACTTTAAAGCAACATTGCATAGGCCAAGAGCAGTATATTAAAAATTTATGTGCTAGTTCCAGTTTAGCTGACCAGAGTGACCAGCAGGAAGTCTTAATGGAATGGTGAAAAGTAATCAGTCAGATCTGCTCCAAACACTCTATCAGGAGAGAGGATGATATACTAAAAGGCCACTGGAAGAATTCAGCTATAAATATGTACCATAACAGCTGAAAACACAAAGGCAGCTCCCCAAAAAAACCTCAAGCCAATATGTAAAAGATAAGTAAATATCTTCTTGACCCTAACAAATGGTTTTATGGATTTTGGATTTCCATACAAAAATGGGAACAGATAATCCTAAGTGTCTATGTTTCAGAAATAGTGAATGGTCCATGGCTTTTTCAGTATACCAGTTTAGGATTATATACTTGATTTGTACCCAAACTTTCTGACAAAAATGACTGTCAGAATGGATTACATTTAACTAATAAAACTTGATAAAAAACAGCAATAAGCAAATTCATTGAAACACAATTTAAAGCACAACCAGTAGCAAGTGAACTTGTAACAAGGAAGTTGCATGCTTTGTAACCAGTTCCAGTCAGTCCTCTGGCTGCAACATTTTGGACCAGATGACAGTTCTGAACAGTTCTTGAAGGCAACCTGACCTAACAGAGCATATTACTGTGGTCCATAGAAGATGCAAGTAAGGCATGTTTGGCTGTGGCCAGATGAGATGTCTCTATCAGTAGCCTCAGATGTGCAAACACACTTCTGGGTAGCTCTGAATCCTCAGCATCTGGGTTCAAGGCCAAGCCCAGAAGTACATCCAAACTGTGAGCTTGAGTCTTCAGAGGAAATGAAACTCCAACCAGACATTCCCCAATCTGCCTTTATGACTAAATAGGAGCATCTCTGTTTTGTCTGGATTTAACTTTATTTGCCCTCATCTAGTCCATTAATGACATCAATTTACAACTTAGAGCAGCTTTCTTGGATTGGATGAACGGAGCGTATCATCTGCATCCTGGTTGCACTGAACCTCTAAACTCTAGACAATTTCTCAGAACAGTTTAATGTATATGTTAAATAGTGAGGGGGATAGGATGTAACCCTGAAGGGCACCACAGGCCAATGGCCAGATTATGAAACAGGAATCCCACAGTGCTGCCTTTAGAGACTGTCCTCCAAGAAGGACAGGGGACACTGTTTAGTACTGTGTGTCAGTTCAATGTCATGCAGAAGCCTCAGAGAAACATCTTGGTTGGTGGTATCCAAAGCTATGGTTGATGGTATTGAAAGAGAGCATCAGCAAAACCTACAGGAACGTAGATCTAATGTGACTGAGGCACTCTGTGTCTCATAACCAGGCCTGAACCCAGACCAAAATCAATCCAGATAAAAATCTGGTGCTTCGAGTTGTAAAATCTGCATTTTAAAAGTTTGCAGTGTTCATTGTAAATCCAAACACCTATGTCCTTTCTGTAATTTTTTTATATCCATAGCCATTTTGGACATGCATGGTTTCTTGGATCTAGTGGTGTGAAGAAAACTGCATTATTATTTTGGTGTCTGGCAAACTCTGTTTTCAATTGTTAAGTGTATGTGTATGTCTTGCAAAAGTAACAGCACACCTTGTATCACTATACTGGAGCAATTAGCCTATTTGTGCATGTATCAGCTGCCCAAATGATAAACTTACATCACAAAAGACGAGAACCACACATCATATGTATTGATAAGCATGCAATTTCCTGCACACAGCACCATAGTAATGTGGGGGGAGAATATTTACATATTGGGTTGTCAGCTCTGCTTTTCATATTATATCTAAATACTTATATGTTTTCTTCATGTTTCCAATTTTAAAAAGATCAATCAGTTGGTTAAATTGCATTAGTAGTAAACAGAACATGACATTTTTGAAGACAGGAAAACTGAAGTCCAGCAGAAAGTACTGACCCTTGAGGTCCATAGACTGAAGTTATTTCTTGTGCTTTACTACTGTTATTCTGAGCCATTGCAAAGATTAGCAATTAAAACTTCTGATTATGCATATAGATGAGGTCTTGCATTAAAAAAAATGTTTTCTTTCACATTGGCATGCAAGATTTGTATCAAGAAGATAAAGATTATCTAAATATAGTGCAGTATCCTGTCACCAGTGCTTGATTTTTAAAAGTACCTGTGCACTCATTTTAGGTTCAAAGAACACCCTAAATAAATTAAACATCAAGAAAGCCAAATTCAAAATGAAGAATGTTTGATGTGATCCATAATTCACAGATTGTGCTTTAGCTAATAGATGTCAGTGTTGTTTCTCAGTAACACTTCACAAATAAAATATTACCCACAGCCAATATATGCAAGCAATTACATTTTGCAGCAAGCTTTCTTCATTAAAATACAGTTTCTGGCTTGCAATTAATTTATAGTATGAGTAAAGTGGCATGCTTAGATAATAAGAAATGTTTAATAAAATATTCTATATGCTTTTAAAGTGTCAGAATTACTGTAAAGAAAGGTCTGCTATGAATCACAAAGCTTGTCCCAGACTCTTTGCCCATATGATGGATGCCACTACTCCACTTCCTTCCTGCATTTGCCAAACCTGGAAATGGGAGCAGAGTGAGAAGAGGAATACTCGTAATCTGAGAGGCGCTCGAGTGGCAGTGGATGGAACTTTGGGCTAGAAACCCTTGTGAAAGTCTAAGCACATTGATTGAACTGGGTTGCATTTGGGTAACTGACCTCAGTGTTTTGCCTATTCTATATTTTAAAAACTAATATTGACACAGTCAAGAATGTTACATTATTGTCATATTGCATTTGTATCCTGCCCTTTCCCCTCTTGCAAGAAATCCACATTGGCTTTCAAGGTTCTCCTCTCCTGTTTTATCCTTGCAAGAGCCCTGTGAGGAAAGGTTAGACAGAGAGCCAGCAACTAGACCAAAGTCACACAGGGAGCGTCATGGTCAAGTGAGGACTAGAACCCGTATCCCTCCATCCCAGTCCAGCACTCTTTCCCACTAGACACACTATCATGACACCCACACATGAATTAAACTTCTTATTCAACAGAACAGTTGTGACAAGTAAACTTGTTACCATGCTTAACCGTAGGAAGAGATGCAGTTGTAATAGATAAAAAGTAAAAATTTTACTGCTACAGAGATTTTCTTTAGGAACTCATTGTTATCAGATGCTACTGTAATCAAGAATATCATATATAAAATGCTTATTAGCACACAAGGACACTTTTGAGCCACTCTATTCTAAAATTTATCTAGTTATCCTTGCAGTCAAATGGAATCATTTAATGTGCTATCTAAACAAATGTGGCTTAAATGCTTATACAGTTGACTCGAGGTCTAGTCCCCATTTTTTTCCAATGGCCAACCACACAAATGGTCAGATTGTGGGTAAATCTGAGTAGGGGCTGATCGGATAAATCAATACAGCAAGGTTTGCTTAAGGTTTCCTTAAACTTGGATTTGTGGCTGTGCTGAACCAGCTAAGAGCTTTGTTCAATATCTATATGGACAGATTAAGAAGAAAGTGAGTTTTAAGACATGGCAGAGGTTCACCCTTATAGATAGCATTCCAGACCCCAAAGGACAGAACCTGTAGGAAATTTATCCACCGTTTAAATGTACGCTGTACTGCCAAGATGAGCATGACCCCTTTCTATCAAGCACATTAAGGCTTTAGTAACAGAACTTGACACAGCTTCAACATGTATATTCATCACTACATGCTCATTTTTAATAACTTAAAATAGGAAGTTAAGGAAAACCCTTAAATGGGATTTAAAATTCTACTTCAAATAGCCTCTACTGATGAGAAGGTAGATTGTCTCCTGGTGAGCAGTGTTTGATATTTATTGGTTTCTAAGATGTCTGTTCTGCCTTTCTGTGAAAATTATTAGGGCAGCTGGTAAGTAATGAAATGGAAAACAATAATCTAATGATTAAATGGCTTAAAATTAAAAAGAGCAGCTGCCAAATACTTATTTAGAGTGGTATCCTGTAGAAGGTGTGCTGGTGACATAAAATACTTTACCCTACTTATTGAAAAGCAAGCTGTAATGGGGATAGGTGTATCTCTTCGGACTATATTCCAGATTTTATTCTAAAAAATATTTTTTAGTATTCATCTATCATATCTAACATAAAGGGGGCATCTGAAGAGGGGTCTCATTGACAGACTCACATGGAGCAAGATGATTTTTGAGTTACTCTGCATTCAGGTCACTGGGGTTCCAAAAACAACATCTGAAAGGATCGCTGGTCAAAGTCTGCTATACTATGATTCAGTCTACAGATTGCAGTCAGACCTCTAACAGATGTGATTTGAATCAATTAAATCTCCTGAACTGCCTTCAGGGAAGTTCAACATAAAGTACATTCCAGTAATCTAACCTGGCAGTCATTAAAGCATGAATGACTGAGGTCAAGTCCAGAAAAAGGATCCAGATGGTATTGAAGATGAAGCTGGCAAAAGCTACTGTAGTTGAAATATTTATTCTCCATGTGAAATATTACTGTACCAAAACTTTATAAGAAAATAAGCAGTGTATTATTTGAAAACAAGCTAAACTTACTACTGAAACAGTATCACTTGAATACTGATAGTATTGCCTGCTCCTTAACTTTTAAGTCCAGATTCTCAATAATGAATTCTGCATGTATCTTTGAAAATTGCTTCATGGTAAAAGATAAGGGGTGTGTTTTAAGATAGCATTCCTAAAGGTGCTGATGGATATGTTATAGATATAACTGAACATGCTTCATTCAGGTACAGACTCAGACTGTGAAAATCTACTTTTAGCTGCCAGTGCTCTTATCTTAATTTTTTTATTGTGTAAATAGTATCTTAGCTTTAAAAAGAAGTTGTTTAACTACAGAGCTTTATGAACATTTTGGTTAGATATTTGCCAGAAGACAAACCTCTTCCTTGGAAAAGCGATATCATGAGCATCTACATAATAGAACTGTAGAAAGAAATCTGAAACAGCAAATATGAAAGCAGAAAAAATGGCCAGACATTATCAGAGATGCTCAGTAATTGTTTCTCCTTTGTAGGTGGTGCTTGGCATTTCTCATTTAATGTGAAATTCTACCCTCCTGATCCTGCCCAACTGTCTGAAGATATCACCAGGTATTTAAAACACCAGCTCTCTTCTAAGGTTGTTTCATAGTACTCTTCGTTTCACCAACACTTGTTCCTATAATGTCATAGTCCTGGGCCCACACTGAAGTTTGAGTCTAGCTCATAATGGGCTTGTCTACATGCCATCCCTGCTTATCCTTGTGTGTATGTGCTCACATGTGTGCATTTGTGTGTGTGTGTGTGTGTTACTTGTAGGTTTCAGCCTTAAGGCATCCATTGCCATGATGAAAGCTGAGAGGTGCAGAAATTTTTCCTGACTCAAAAATGCTTTCAAGCAACCTCCTGCATCTCTGTAGTTTCTTTGCTGCTTTCCCCCTCAGCCCATGCACAGCACATTTTGGGAAATGGTGGAAAAAGGCTGCAGTGGAAGGCAGGTGGTGAGGCCTCTGTTTCTTGCCTTTCTTTTGGAAAGCTCCGAGGAAAAACCCCAGGGCTTTCTCCAAGGTAAGATTGAGCTGAGCTTATCAATTGCTAGTAACTGCTGCATCAGCATAATTATGAACCTTAGAAGATGCTGCATTAAGCTGAGGAACGGTGCGTTGTTTACATTAACAAGTGAACATTATATACATCCAAATTGTTCCTTCTAACTGGTACTAACTCAAAAGTAGCAGAAGAGCTCTGATCAAATGCAAGGTCCCATGTCACATGGTTTTAGGTGGTGGACAGATGTTCAGACTTGAAATTGCGTGTTAACCTAAGTGCCTGTGAAGGAAGCAGCTTACTCTCCCTCCTTCAATAGAAAGGTCAGACTTCTTTCAAAGAACTGCTTGTGAATTGCTAGAAGTTGTGTATTATTTATGATTGTATTGGTGTTCTGCCTCTTCTTGCAGCCCAAGCTGTGTTTGTATGTGGAGGGGTTAATAGATTCTTTAAACTGTTGCAGGTACTATCTCTGTTTACAACTGAGAGACGACATTGTCTCTGGACGATTGCCATGCTCTTTTGTTACCCTTGCACTTTTGGGCTCCTATACAGTCCAGTCGGAGCTTGGAGATTATGATCCTGATGAATATGGAAGTGATTATGTCAGCGAATTTCGCTTTGCCCCAAATCATACTAAAGAATTGGAAGATAAAGTAATAGAGCTTCATAAGAGTCACAGGTGAGAAATGCAGGGCTAAATGATTGTATGAAAATATGGCACTTTGAAATTCAGTGCTCACCGAATGTCTCAGATTTCCAATTTTGTATTCAGAGAAACTAAGACCTGTGACTATTTGAGTACATAATTGTGTCTTTTGATTTTAAAATCTTACATAAAATTCTGTTGTCTCTTACATACATAATCTGGCCAGGGCGACTTCTTTTATATTTTATATTTTTATTTATTTTATATTGTTAATTTTAATTTTATATTGTTATTTTTTTATTTTGTTGTATTTTATTGTGTTTGTAAGCCACCCTGAGGCTTCAGCAAGGGGCAGCATAGAAATGTTCTAACAATAATCATCATAAAGAACATGTATCTTTTCTAGAAAAGACACTCATATTGATTTGTTCTTACATTTTTTGTTAATACTGTTTATTTTTAGGGGAATGACACCTGCAGAAGCTGAGATGCATTTTTTGGAGAATGCCAAAAAATTATCCATGTATGGAGTAGATCTACATCATGCCAAGGTGCACACTTTAAACAGGTCTAATTCACTTTATGGACCTGCCCTTCATTTACACTTCTCTCCACAAATTCATTGTTCTACTGATCTGTGTTTCATACCAGTGAATTCTCCAGTTCAATAAATACGTTATGATGCATTGATGGTGATAAAATTAAAAGGCTAAAGCACTTTTAACTGAAGTAGCACCAAATATAAACTAGTCTTAAAAAGTTTTACACTGCAATTAGCACATAAAAATCCAGAATGGCAACAATTCTCCTCATAGTCTCTTTGTAGTTCTGAAACTCAGGATCTGCATAGCTGGATAAAGAGAGGTAGAGCCAAAGATAATCCACTATACAGCATCAGCAGAACCCTTGAAGAGACTCCTGCCTTGTACAGAGCGGTACCAAAAAAAGTTACCAAAGGGGACATAAAATATATGACTGTGTGACTGGCATGGTTAAAAGCAAGTCAAGTGGTGTATGTCACTGTTCAATTTGTTTACCGCAGAATTCCACTAATAGCACAAGCTTCAGTTCACATCACAGCAGCAGTTCCCCAAAATCGATACTTTCCCCTTTATTCTGCTTCGGTAGCCCAATTCTGCTCCTCTTGCTGGAGCAGCCCCTGGTGCTGCTGCAGTGATTTGGGCCATCTAATCATATGTCATGCTGTCGTATGTCATAATTTTGCCAAACATAGATTTTTCCTAAAAATCTATTTTTATGTATTTCAACAGTGGCTATAGTTGTTACGCTGAAAATAAATAGCAAACATATTAACAAAGCCCCCAAAATTCATTTATTGGAGAAACAGTATGTAGGCTCAAAGATGTAGAAACTGAATTTGTTACTGTTTGATTTCTACCTTTCTTCATTCAAGACCATATGTATAAAGGTGAAACACAGTTCAGGAGATGGAGAGCTTTCTTACTTAAGTTAATGAATACAGTGATAGGCTAATTGAGCTTTGCATTCATTATTTGATGCATTGATTGTGGTTTCAAGCAACAAGGTAAACAAAATTACCCCTTTGACTGACGTTACCTCTGAAATACTAGACTAGTTATCTCTGGAACCTGTTTCATTAAATCTAATGTTTTTGTTGTTGTTGTTCAATAACATAGTTGTGGATATTAAATGAGTAGCAGAGCTCTGAATGTAATATTGTAAAATGAGGATCTGTAAAAAGAGAACTTACCAACTTTTTATTATTATTTTTAGGATTCTGAAGGAGTTGAAATCATGTTAGGGGTTTGTGCAAGTGGTCTCTTGATATATCGAGACAGACTCAGAATAAACAGGTTTGCTTGGCCTAAAGTTCTAAAAATTTCATACAAAAGGAATAACTTCTACATCAAAATCCGACCAGGGGAAGTAAGTCAATTTCAGGGAACTAAATAACTAAATAATATTTCTTGTTGCAAGCTGGACAATCCTGTTTGTCCAATTTGTATGTCTATATGCCAGTGTGGTGTGGTGATTTGACTGCTGGAGTGGGGTCCTGGGAGATACAGTTCTAGATCCCATTAAACCATGAAGCTCAGTGGGTGACCACACCAGTCAGTCTGGCTGAGTTCATACGTAACACTAAACCGTGGTGGAAACCACTTTGGCATGGTCTGTCCTGTTGTGTGAACCCTGTCAGTTATGTGAACCCTGTTGGTTTCCATGTGACCATGGAGAGAAGCAATGGGCTGTTCTATGGTTTCTACTCTTTAAAGTTACTTGTTTGATTGTATGTACCCAGGAACAACTTTTTAAATTGTTACCCTAGTGGCCACTGCTGGACAAGACAGTCCTGCCTGTAGCCTCCACTGGTCAGAGCTACCTATCAACTGATACATCAGCTTCAGCCATGTTCCCATTGGCTAATGCACTCTCCTTCCTGTTTCTGCTGTCTGGATGCCTTCCAGATGCCCACCTGTAGCTTTGTAATGTCACTGGAAGCATGGAAAGTGCTTCTGTCCAATTTCTGGGGATTCTCATGCAGTGTTTTCAGCAGGCTGGAGGGGCTGTTATGAGGAGGCGCAGGTGGGGAAGTCAGTTATTTGTGCCTAAATCTGGATCCAACCCATTCTGTATGTATGGATGTGAATATATATATAGAAGTATATTTTGAAATAATTCCTTAGGGCATTAAATATTTGATATATCTTAACTAGAAACAATGGAAATGGTCTTTTCTTTCCTAGTTTGAACAATTTGAAAGCACAATTGGGTTTAAATTACCAAATCATCGTGCTGCAAAGCGTTTATGGAAAGTATGTGTTGAACATCATACATTTTTCAGGTATATAATTACTTTATAATTTATTTTAAAATATGTGATTCAGGAATAATAAGCCATTTCTAAAAGATATTTCTTTCATCTAAGGAAACATTATTTGCCTGTATGTTTAGTAGTAATACTGGAAATTTACTCTAAAGGAAAGAGAATGGTATAGTGTTATCATCTTACAGCTGGGATATATCATTTTTATACCATGAGAAACTGATATAAATGTTGGGCTCAGTGATATCCCCTGGCAAGTATTAGAGCTGGCTAAACTAATTTTTAAAAAATCACTTTCCAGAATTCAAAGAATGCAAATTCCTTTATCCTTTCCTTAAAAAATAACATTTGAAGATAGGCCAATGCTGAGCATTACACTTATGGGGTGGGGAGATTTCATTCCCTTCTCATGAAAAAAAATTGATATTATAAGTATTGCTATCATTATTGATAGCATTATTTCCCTTAAGTTGGAAAGGGAAGTTATGCACAAGAGAGGTCAGGCAAGGAAAATATTTATGTTATTTAGATGAGAGGAAACTTAAGCATGGATAAAAACAATAAAACAAGGAATAAACAGAAACGTGAAACAATATACAATAATGATACACAATAGCAACAGTATGCAGTATCAATATACTGCTGAGAGTTAGGTGTACATAGGCTCAAATAATGTGCTAAAGCAATGAGACAATATAAAACTGTATTCTTGTAAAATTAAACTGCATATTTCATTGTGTGTGATAGGCTTTTGCTGCCAGAGGCTCCTCCTAAAAAATTCCTTACATTGGGGTCCAAGTTTCGCTACAGTGGAAGAACTCAAGCGCAGACGAGGCGAGCGAGTGCACTGATTGACCGCCCTGCTCCCTACTTTGAACGGTCATCGAGCAAACGCTACACGATGTCTCGGAGCCTGGATGGGGGTAAGGTAGCCTTGATGGTCTTTATTTACAGTTCTGTCTCAATTCATTTTGAATGAAAGCACTTGTTCAAGAACAGATTGAAGCATCCTGTAATCTAATGTCTATTGAGCTTCTGCCAGATGACACTTGTAAGTATCTGCATGACATTTCATTCACTATTAGATAGCTATTAAATAAATATTAACTTTGTGTTTTCCTGGCTTCTTCATGTGAAAGAGGAACAAGGAAAGGTCAATCACTCCCCATCTATTAATTCCAGATACTAGTCTCCCTTCTGTTTCCGCCATTCTTGTCTTTTGGCAGAATTTCCTGATTTTTTTCAGGATGCTCCAGTGAATGGCACCTTTGCACTCATTGGCTGGCTCTTGGTCATGAGAGACTTTCTGGCTCCATCCAAAATAGAACTAGTATACATTCATAGTAATAGCTTATAGAAGAGATATACAGAATTGTTTATCACACATACATATGAAAATTAGCATCAGAACCATGTTTTTTTGGATTACAAAATGCTGCCACTAAATTTCAAGGTGACAGGTAGAGAACTTGAATTAAATCATCTGATTTAATTAACAAAGGGAATTCTTAATAATTGGGTAATGGATATATCTTTGCAGAAACTCAATGATATTGGGTCACCTTGATTTCCCAGTCTATTTTATTTATGTATTCCCTTTATATCTTATCTTTCTTCCGTGGTGGGTTATGTTGAGCTCCAAGATCCAGGCATTGACCAGGCCTAGACCTGCTGCTTCATGTGCCTTTGGATCAGTACTGGAACCAATAAGATTTTACATTTAAGTTATACTTTTTTCCCTGTCTTCTGTATGCACTATACTTTTTCTAGATAAAATTGCTGACCCATTCCTGATTCAGGTTGCTTTATTATACAATAGCTTTTAAACTCTTGAAAAACTTTTTTTTTCTAGATTTCAACATCTGATTAAAATCTTTCTTTCAACTTATGTTAAAGGCTTTATACCTGACAGAGCAAGTTGTTCCTGGTCTATGTAACTAACCAGGTTTCAGAAAACATTTTCTTCACAATCAAATGGGTTCACAGAGTGATTTCAGATATATTTGTTTGAAAATGCCATTCACAGCTGGACTATGAGTATTTTTATTATAATTTTCAGAAGTTGCCCAATTCCTGGGCTAACTTGAAAAGGAATGAATATATGTTATGTTAAAGACTTTTATGTTAACTCAGTTCCTCCTTTTTGTACTTTTACTTTTTCTCTTGCTAGTCAAAATAAGGAATTTACATATCTTTAAAACTATGCTGTTAAAATATAAACTGACCTGACCAGTTTGCAGTGCAACACATTTAGACAGAAAGTTGGTGCAACACGATTGCATCATTCGTATGAGATTGTCTTCTAATATGGAGTAACTCCAGTATTTATACTTTCAAGATAAAGGTAGCTAGGAAGATTTCTTGAATGTGGAGCAAAGCAGGTAGGGAGAACTGCTTGAGGTCAGTGGGAAAATCCATGATCCAAACAAACAAGTGATAATTTCTGTTGCTCTTTGCTGAAATTGATAACATGGGTGCTTCTCACTCACTAATGCTGTTCGTTTGATTAATAATATGCTTCCTCCTGGTTACCAAGCAACTCATGAGATTACTGCTGCACATTCATCTCACAGTACAAATTGTTCTGAGTGTTCTTTTTCTTGTCATGGTTGTGTAATAAGCAAGTCCCTCTTTAGAGCATATTTGTGGTTGTACGATTAATGTGTTTTTGCAGCATAGTTAACTAGTCCATTAGTACAGTTCTTTACATTTTTGCAATGTGTTGTTTGTCCACTGTTGGAGTTTTAGGCTTTGATGCTGTGCACAGGTAACATGGAAGCAAGCCTATGAAAAATGATGAAACTTGTATCTGAGTAGACAGGTATAGGATGGCAGTGTGAATTACCTACAGTTGTAATTCTGTAACCACATATTAGAAATAAACTTACAGTTATCTAGCTAGTCAGTGTGACAGTTTGTCCCCTTAAAATACAGTAAATAAATATAAAATTGTCCTAATCAGACAAGGTATTGTCTTGTATGCACATATGGATTACATCATGGTTTATCAGGCTATTGTAACTCTGGGAGAATGTAAAATGTTTTTAAAGACAAGCATAAGAAGTGGTTGGAGGGAAAGATGGTCGAATGAATGTTGAATCCACATGTGAAGTTAATGAGCACAGACTTCTCGAGTCACAGATAATGCCTATGAACCTTAAGAATTTTCAATTACAATTCATTTGAAATCTTTTCCCCAGATTTGGTGGAGTAACATTATAGATAGAAGAATTTGAAAAATCATTAAACAAAGCATCAAAAGTGGGAGCATAGCATTATTTAAAATTGGTCATTTAATATTAATAAATCCAAGTTGATTGTGACTGTTGTTCTTCAAGTGGTCATCTGTGCATTCACAGATATGGGCTGTGCAGCTGAGTGGAGCCTGTTGTCAGGAAGATTTAATATCTAGGAGTGTTTGGGTGGGAACCACTCTCCTGTCTCAGCATCCATTATAAATGGAAGGAGTTCCTACCATTCCCTCACTTGGAACTGCAACTCAAGACTTCCCAGGCTGCCTCAGTACCAATGGAAGATCAGTGTGACTAACTTTGATGCAGCCAAAGTTGATCCTGTAATGAAGGATAAATTAAATTGCTCTATGACATCAAGCAGGGTTGGTACATGAGTGGATTCTGTGAACGCACAGATTATCACTCAGAGAATGACAGTAACCAGTAAGAAACCTGGCTTTCTTCTTCGTGGTCTCTGCGCATCACACATATGGTGACTAGCAAGCTTACCTCTACCTAGATGGAAGGATGTTGTCATTAGCAAAGTACTGAAGAGAGGACTGCTCTTCTAAAAGTACAGTCTGATCTGACATGAACATCAAGCTTGACGTGCTTGATGAAGGTTGATGGAGTTGACCAGGTTCCTGCCTTGCAAAGGTCCAGCAGAGGCATTCCAGCATGCAGGGCCATTGATGTTACCACTGGTCTTGTTGAAAGTGCTTTTGGACAAACTGGAAGTTGGAGCCCCAACAGTTCATACGTAAGTGATTTGGTCCACACCAACCAAGTTGCTAGTCTTTGAGGGGAGACAGGCTGTCCCTTATTTCTGTCTCTGTAAAAGACAAAAAGCCTCCATGAGTGCCAGAAAGACTCCGTTCTGGAGCAGTAAAATGCCAGCACTGTATGCACATCCAGGGTATGTAGCATAGACTTCATCAGGTTGAAAGGGGTAGAAAAAAGGCAGGCAAAACCATGTCTTGTTTTAAAGCAAAAGGTGAGAGCATCTTAGGAAGGAAGGGCCCGTGCAAGATAAGGTTTGGGGGATCCAACCTTAGTGCACAGAGTGTACTGCAGCAGTGAGTGGATGTAATTGTTACCAGAAAGACTTTCTCCCAGGACAGTAAGAACATTGGCAGTTCAGAGCGTCTTATTCCACAAGTTCATGCAAAGGTGGTGCACATGGTGTTTCCTGGCCTGCTTAGTGAAGGCCATGCAGTGAGGACCTGGTGCTCCTTGCCAAACAAAGTGAGTGACATCCAATGTCCAGCTTGCCATAATATTTCACACATTTGTGAAATGTTGCCTTTGATTCTATTGGTAACTTGAAGGGGATTAGAGGAAAAAATAGCAATACGATATAGTAGAGTCTGGAATAGTTGGAGGAAAAACAAGGGGGGGGGTTGGTTTGGTTTTGGAGCTCATGGAAAACAGGTGATGCTTTAGAATGAGCTCCCTGGAGAGATTCTCCTGGTGCCCTTTTTATATTCTTTTCAGTGCCAGACAAAGACTTTTTTGTTTTGATGGTACTTTAATTGTTAATTTGGTTTTAACTTTCACTTAAGATGTGATAGGAACACTTTTTACTGCTCTCTGATTATGTGTAATACTGTTTTTTTAATGTTTTATATTGCGTTTACATGCTTTGATGCCTGTAACCTGCCCAGGGAACTGTGTGGCTAATGGGGCAGGCTAAAAATCACATACATACATACATACATGCTTTGATGGAAAAATGAGATGAAACATTGATATGTCATGAAGAAAGCATTTATAGGAAGATCAGAGAAAGAGCGAGAACACTCAAATCGTACAAGAGCAAGGATGAAGAATTTCCCAGGGCACTGGTGAAGGGGCTCGGAGATGAACTTGAGGAATGGGTGGGAGGTGAGAAAGGGGTGCTTGCCAAAATGCTCTTAGCTATTAAATCTGCTCGACAGTGGGCTACACACAGGCACAGAGCCCATGTGTGTGATGCACAGAGACCATGACGAAGAACCAAGTAGGCTTATGTTTCAGCCTTTATCTTGCATGCCCAGTACTTACAAACTTACTCAAATAAGAATTGATCTTGGAACTATTTGTGTATAAAATTACTAATGAATGCAATGTGAATATCTTGCATTTATTTATTTATTATTTTAATTTGCATCCTGTTTTTCCTTCAAGCAACTTAAAATGGAGTCCTCTCCTACAACAACCTTGTGAAGTAGTTAGGCTGAGAAATAGAGACTTGCCCAAGATCCCCCAGGGAGATTCATAATGAAATGAATTTTGAACTTGGATTTTCTGGATTCAAAATCTAAACTCAGCCTAACCATTATACTCCGCTCTTACAAAGACACATGAATAATCCTGCAGGTTGGATGTTCTTAGCCAAAATTCTTGCTGGAAGAATGAAGCATACAATTCTTATTATTGCTTCTTTTGAAGTTGTTCCCTTTCCAGTTAGCGTGCATGTGGTGTTAAAATTAAATAATGGCCTATGGTACAGCCAAAGGCAGTATTTTATTTCTATTAAACAGATTTTTAAGCTGCTCCTCAGTAGTCTAGCAGGGTGGTTTACAGGAGCATAATAAAAGGTGAGTCTATGGAGCAGAACCACAGCACAGTGGGAAAATTCAACAAACAGTACATTTAGGACTGCTTCTTGTACCGATCCAAGCAGTTCATGTGATTCATTGGAGTGGAAGGCTAAAGCGAAGGCTAAAGGCCATAAACAACTCCACCTTACGGAATCAACCATTGCACATCTGTTTTCTTGTGAGATACCATTCAAGAGAAACTAGATAAGCCACCATTCACAGCAGTAGACCTTTTGTGGTGTGTCAAATTGAATAGGGCTGGGAGAAGCCAAACCAGACTGGGGCTGTGGCATGAAGAGGAAGGGCTTTCACCCTTTGCCCTCATGGTGTTCCCCTAATTGGAACTCAGGGCCCAGCCCACTGTTACCTCTTGAAAGTAAATTTCCATTGGCACACAGGTCTTGTAAGAGAAGGGGTTAAATTCCCCACCAGCAGCAGCACACCATTTCCCCAGTATAGTGCTTCACACACTCCCAATGTGCTCGCTCTCTCTCGTGTGTGTGTGTGTGTGTGTTTATGCTATTGACGTACTGCCAGAAGCCCCTTTCATTAGCAGTACCTCAGTAGAGACAGTAAATGGGCAGGCTTGGCTATTCCTCTTGTGCATCATATCACACCGAGTTTGGCTCCCAGAGTTATTTATTTGTTTGTTTAGAAAGCTTCTATGCCGCCCCATTCGCCGAAGTTAGTCTTGAGAAGGAACGGGGAAACAAAACTAGGTTATTCAAGAGCTTCAAACAATAGATGGAGCTGATATTAACAGGAGATACTAACTCATTATGCCATTTGAGTCTTTGAAAGAAGATAAGACACCTGAGTAATTGCTTAGACATTAATATCACTTTATTCATGTGATTCCATGAATTGTCTACAGGAGGGGGTTCCCATAGCTTTGACTTGCAGTTCAGTTCTGGAACCGCTAAAGAGATTGTCTTTGCATAGAGTGAAGAAATGTGCTGTATGAGGAGGAAGATGTGTGTGATACGTATGCAGTTGTCAGACTTTCATAGGACCTCTGGAGCACTGCTGGTGTTATTGATTACATGATTTTTGAACTATGGAATTTGCATTCTCAAGATGTAGCGACGGCTGCCAATGTGGAAAACTTTAGAAAGGGAATAGACACATTCAAGGAGGCTAAGTTTATCAATGGCTACTGATCATGATGTTTAAATGTTGCCTCCAGTGTCATGAGCACTACGCTTCTGTATGCCAGTTGCTGTGAACATGCACAGAGGATGCTAAGTACACTCATGTCCCGCCTGTGGGCTTCCTATTCAGGCAATTGGTTGACCACTTTGCAAACTGAATACTGAGCTACATAGGCCTTTAATATCTTCTGATACTATTATTTTTATATGTATCTAATACATGTGGTATATTGTTGCTGATTCTATAAATACCTTTTTATATACTGAGCTTTATAAAGACTTTTTTTGCATTCCAATGAATTAGCAGACCTTCTTTGGACCTTCTATATTATTTTTTAGGCTAATAGTACCCTGCTTTTGGGCTTTATTTTGCTTGCGTTGCATCTGGTTATTAACTCAAATGGTTTTTGAAAACCCTTTCTTGATGTTGTACACATTGCTAAATCCATATTTTCAATTAAATTATCTTGCAGAAGACATATTGCAATATACACAGATTATTTCAATGTCTGGATTCTAAGCAGTTCAGTAGCTAACATTATAAAAGTATTCTTATCAGTGTTATGGAGAATCTGCATGTGTGCAAATACATAGAAGTCCATAATAGGATGTGCACATCCACATTTATCTACTAATTTAATCCCTTTGCAAGTTTACTTAGAAGGTATGCATGTTTCTGCATGTTTCTGAAACATGACATCTTCATCTTTTTGGCAAGTTGCTTTTGGCTGCAATTCTATACCCATCTGGTAGTAAGTCCTGTTGAACTCAGTGGCACTTACTTCTGGGTAGACATGCATAGGATTGCACTGTTAACCCTCAATCTGTTATAATTTTGCTTTGCAGAGCAATTTATTTCAGACTTTATTCTTCAAATTATATTTGCTTTTAGCATCAGTGAATGAAAACCATGAAATGTACATGAAGGATTCTATGTCTGCTGCAGAGGTTGGTACTGGCCAGTATGCCACGACAAAGGGCATCTCTCAAACCAACTTGATAACTACTGTGACTCCAGAGAAAAAAGCAGAAGAAGAGAAGGATGAAGAACAGATTAAAAAAAAGAAAGCAGAGGAAGTCACTCCAGTCTCAGCAGTACGGCATGATACAAAGGTACAGTTTTCTGGTATCCTGTAACTCCTTCAATGAAGCCAGTGTTAGAAATGCCACAGTAACTGTGACTGAAAAAAGAAACACAGAACAAAAAAAAAAAAAGCCATGGAATATTTATAGATATAGATTTAGCTATGTTCAGAAGTAAAAATATTTGTGATTCTTATTTCTTTTCTGCAAATTTGAGTGCAGTGACTGAACACTTGCAAAATTAACAAATCTGTATAGAAAATTGTTTACTTTTAATAATGTTATGAACTCTTTGTAAAATTGAAGAATAATGTTTGTAGTTACAGCCCACACTAAAATGAATGCCTTGTCATGAGAAACTTTCTCATGACTGATCTCAGAGATTTATTACTGAGATTTTGTTTTAGCTGTACTAGACAATTAGAGTTTACTGAAGCTAAGATTATTCCGAAATACCTATTATCCTAAAGGCTTTGACATTCTCAAAAATTGCATCTTGCCTATAAACAGCAGATTAAATAATGTTAATTTGTTTTCTTCTTGCTTTTTGAGTTTCGCAAGAGGTTTTTTTTAAGAGAAAGGGAAATGATGGCACTTGATGAAACTAAAATACTATTTAGCCTTTTCAATAAATGTACTTATCACATTTTTCTAATTGACCATAAATTTAGAGTTAATTTTTGCTTAGGGAGCTACATCACGTGAGTAAATGAGAGGGACAAGATAGTATTATAAGACAGTAATGGGGAGGGATGCTTTCTGGGAAATACAAGGCTCTCTCTTCTATCTTAGGGCTCTGTTCACTTTTTTGTGAATACCAGTAGTTTTCAACTGCTGGTCCACCTGCTGGCCCATGGGGGTGGGTGCATCCTGCTCACCCTGGACCTGCACAGGGGCTGGCTGTGCTCTACAAGTGTTTCTTCGGTTGGCAAGTGCTGCCATGGGCACAAGGAGGAGAGAGATGGCTTTTTGTTCTATCTCAGCAGTCCCCAAGGTCATTTTCCTGTTTTTGCCGGTCCCCAGCTGTGGAAAGTTTGAAAACCACTGGTGTATACAACATCATGGAAAGGTACCAAACTGATGCATGCTGTCTTCTGACAGTGCCAGTTAGCAGTCAAGATCCCTAGAAGAGTAGAATGGATTCAGTCTGCTTCACAGGTGTGAAAGATGTGGCACTACAGAGATCTTTACATGATATAAGGCAGGACCTGAATCAGCAAGAAAACTCCCTCCTCTTGTGCGTACACAATACACCCATTTCCTTTAATGGGACTGAATCCTTCAATTTCAAAAAGGATATATTCTTGGCTGCTTATTTGGGTTTTATTTTGATTTTTAAATTAGATTTGAGGTAACCTATTTCTGTTTTCAGAACTTTTATCCCAGTTTACCATATCAGTGAAAATTTTGGAGATTTATCAGAAGTGTTCTTTAGTTAGAAGGTCAGCAGTGGTAGGCTAGTTCTCTGAAACTGGCTTTGAACAATGCCTACCTGTATCATAAAAGCCCCATAACAGCATTATCCTGCACACAAGCAAAACTCAGGTGGGGAATAAACAGGGATACATACATAAGCCCCAATATCCCCCACCTTTGCACAAAGGTCTGCCAAGGATTTTGTAAGGTGTTTGACCTGAATGTGGTCCATGGATGTCAGCTGAAGATATTTACAGAACTTCCATGGATGTCAGCTGAAGATATTTACAGAACCTTATGAAGATCTTGGGACTGAATACATGGAAATCTAGTTAGTGGGATATGTTGAGAAATTGGGAGTGCAGCTTACAGCCATACCAATGTCCCCTCCCAACTTTAGCTCTATTCATGTGCAGGTGTGTGGTTTGGATGTAACAAATGTTTTTATGTAGGACATTTATACTGCTTTTCCTTTGCAAAAAGGAGTTAGTCAAATAAGTTGAGAATATATCAAAAGCATTAAATGAATAACCAACAATTAAAAACATTTACAGGAAGCTAAAAGCTAAACAAAGCAAAAACATAGGAAAACCAAAAATAGCAATCAGTGAATAAATTAAGCAACAACAAAATTAAATGCTTATTTAAAAGGGAACATCTTCAGTTACTATGGAACACCAGTAAGTAAGAAAGTGACTGTTTGTGCAGGGAGCTTCACATTCAGTGTGCCACCACTAAGAAAGCCTGCTTGTGCATTGCCTCCAGCCATACCTCTGAAAGCAAGTTCATGCACAAGAGGTGGGCATTTGGTGATCTGAAAGGATGGGCAGCATTGGGAAGGGTGTTCTTTCAGATGGCCAGGTCCCAATCCATTTAGGGCTTGAATCATACTCAGAAACGAGCACAGTTCAGCACCTTGACTGACATGTTGTTGTTGTTTTAAACCTTTTATTTTTAAAATGCATTTTATTTACAATATTTGTATATTGCTCAATATCCAAGCAGATTCAGTTAAAAGAATAAAAACAATACACTAAAAACAAGAGAACAAATCATTATCTATTTATTTATTATCTATCTATCACATTTGTATGCTGCCTCGTAGCCGAATGCTCTCTGGGTGGCTCACAGGGCAATATAAATATATATAAAATACAGATAAAAATAAATTGCAATCACAAACAACCCATAAAACGTAGTAAAATTAAAACACAATAGAAATGCAACCATATAAATAGGAAACAGGAGGAAAACACAATATAACCAATAACAATAATAAAACAGTAAACCAGCAGCGAACCGATAGTCCAATCTAAAAACAGGTACCAAATAAAAAAACCTTGACTTGGTGCTGAAAACAAGATAAGCTGTGTGCCAGTCGCCTCTCCCTTGGAAGAGCATTCCAAAGGTGAGGTGCAATGGCCGAGAAGGCCCTTTTCCTGGTCAGTTCCACCCTTACCTCATTTGTGGGTGGGGGGGGGGTCACAAAAGAGGGCCTCCATTGATGACCTGAGTGGTCTGGTAGGGATATATGGAGACAGGTGTTCCTTGAGATATCCCTTAAGCAAGGTGCACATTCTGATCATATGTGGTTATGGTTGATACTGCACATGATTCAAGTTTAGCCTAAAAGGCAATATAGAATTCTCTGCAGTACACAAATTTCCTTGTCAAATGCAGTTTGACTATATTATCATAGGACATGAACTGGAATTTAAGTGATCTGTTACAATATATGAGAATCAAATGAAATGCTAAAGAGCCCTCAGGAAACAGACAGTATATAATCTTCATTGTATAATCTTCATCAAGCACTGATGCCTGTTTTGTTACTTATGTGTACAATAAATATCCTCTCAGTACATAACATGTTTACATCAGACAGGCATCCAAGCAGCACATTTTTGTCTGAGTAGGGTCCAGAAACAGATCAGTACAACGTTTTAGTAGGAAGATTGTTAGAGGAAAGCTGAAGTCCTATAGCTGGAAGTGAGCCCTTTTGAGCTCACCGGGACTTACTTCTCAGTAGACATGTATAGGATTGCACTGTAAATATATGAAAATAGTGTAATAGTGATTTTGGCTATCATAGAATTGGTACTTGGATGCTTTCAGTAACTTTGCATAATAGCTATAGCCCTCTAACCTCAGGCTACCACACATCTTTATCATCTGTTTGATTATTAACTTTGTTTCACACCTAGCTGTAACTTAACAAAATGCCAGGTTAGTAAATAACATAATCCGGTGGATTTTTTTTTTCTGTACAAGCATTGATAGGACATGGCAGAAGTCATGCAAAATGATGAATGATGCAGGAAGCTTACTGTATCTTCAAAGGATTGCTCAGACTAACTCAAGAATGACCATAACTGTTTTGTTATTTTGAGGGTCCCAATACCATATGGAAGGCCATTGTTGGAAAGTAACTTGACTTTGATTTCATCCAGCAAAGCATTGTTCTAGTCACCTTCTGATTCACTAGTAGAAACTGTTCTGCTAAAAGGTAGAACCCTAAGCAGTTAGTATCTCTGATTCTCCAGCACCAGAAAAATGCATAAACTGTGTGCAGTTGGCAAAGACACCTTTCTTGTTTGCAATGATTTCTAGTGTGAATATTGCATTCCGGAAACTTCATATTCCATACCAATCAGATCTTTTTAATACAGATCATTCTTTTTGCAGAAATAATTAGAACTTACCTGTTTACTGTGCAAACATGAAAGAAGGAGTAAGGCCTAAGTCTTAATATTCAAAACAGATGTTACGATATTAGCAGAGCTTTTGAGTATAGTCACTTACTGCTATAAATATAAATGAAATCAGCTCTTTTCACTGTTGATCTATTAATAATATTTTCTGCTTTGGGTGCATTGATAGGGCATCCAGTATGTGTAATGGCTACCTAACAGGTGTGCCTGCAGGGGGAACTAACATATTTAGTGCATATTTCCTACATTATATTGAAAAAACAACAGCGATGTTCTCAGTAGCTGGGTAAATTCATATGAGAATAGGCAATCCTTTAATTCTGCACCTAAAATCAGAACTTCCAATTATTCCTTTAAAATTGTTTGGAGCTTTTCCCTCCTAACATACTTATATTTCTGCACACTTTGAACTTTCTTGTCTCAACTACAGTCCTCACCCCTTGAGATTACTATCAGAGGAAGTGATATAGACAATTTTCACGATAGCAGTAAACCTTGTAAAAAAATCTAGCAGAAATTCTCTTTCTAGATTAGAAACATATGTTGTTTTAACTGTCACGACCTCCTGAGTGGTGAGTTCCTTGACATCCCCAAAGAGAAATTTCCAGTATTAACTGGAAAGAGGTTTGGGAGAAGCAGCAATATGCTTACACCTTATTTACTTGTTCCCTCTTTCATTTTCTGGTTTCTTCCAACTATATTTTACAATAATTACCGAATTGGACAAAGCATGATAATGTTAATCTCCAGACCATGATACATTTGCAAACTGTAGTTTGAAGATTGGCACTAGCATCAGTTGTGCAAGTGTAATGTCAGAGCGACTTAATCTGGCTCACACAATCACCTAGAGCTGATCAAGCCACCATGGCTTGTGTAATCCTTGGTGCATGTGAGGAGTAA